ACAAGAAAAATATTTAAATGGTAATTAGTTGGAGCCCTAATATAAATCCTTTCTGTTTACAAAAGGCTTTAATGATAGAATGTAAATGGCCTCCAACACATTTTTTATATTATATAATTTACTCTATTTACCTCTGTTCATGGCAGTCATAAAACTTTGTACTACTAAACATATCTTTTTATATATATATATATATATATATATATATATATATATATATATATATTTAAACACAATGTGATTGAAAAGTAACTCCCTATATTATGTATGAGTTACGAGCCAGAAGTCTTGACTTAACACCCTGTGACTTTTTTCTTTGGGGTTATTTAAAGGAGGAAGTTCACTATACAAAAACTAAGACTATGGAAGAACTTGAAGGGCGAATACCAGAATTTATGTCTTCTATATCTCAAGAGTTCCTCATGAAATCAGCCTCGTCCAGGTTCCTCTCTGTTCAAGGCAGAGAGTAGGACAGCAATGAACAGTCTGGTCGAACGTTCCCCCATCGCCTACTCTCCTACTAATCTTATAGTAGTCGGAAGAGACCAACATAGACTCTTTAGAGGGAGGACACCACAACAATAACAAACACAGGAAACGTTAAATTTAACATGTTTCATTTCTATTAAAGCTTCATCAGAAAATGAGATATGGATACAAAGAGAGAAAGAGACTTTGTTGTGTGTTCTTTATCGGTTTAAGCAGACTTCGCATGCATTTTGTCTTGTAAAGAGGCTTTTGTGTGTAAATTCATTTGTGAAAGTGTATCATGATTTTAATTTGTCTATGCGGGAATCGGATGATAATCAACATTCATTTGTATATGTATTTAGTATATATATATATATATATATATATATATATATATTAAATAATGTTAAGTCATTTAATAATAACGTCTGATAAGCAATAAGATTATCATTAAACGAAGTCACAATGTCTATTTTTTTTTAATCCTATCTATTTTATGATGAAATTCTTTTCAATAACGTCTGATTTAATGGAATATTTCCAAGAATTAAACACGTGCATATAAGACGCTGGAAGCGAAAATCATTAAACGAAGAAAAAACAAAGAAAATTGGTATAAACCAATGGCAATAGTGATATTAATGGAGATTTTTTTTATTTTTTAATTACCTATATATTTGGATATTTACAGTGTTATTCTAATCGTTTCTGGACTACAAAGAGGATTAAATCGGAGGACGAATATTTTCTGTGAAAATTTCTCGGACATTCAGGCCCAATTATCAAAAACCGATTTAAAATATTTGTATCTATAAAAGAATTGTCTTAAAATAATTGTCATTACCGTTTCATAATTAACGTCATTTGTTTACATTTGGATACGCCATGAGCAGACAATGTAATGTGATTCATGGAAGATTGAAGTTTAAATGTTTCGACCTGTTTATTCATAGATATGATTTGTTTTTTTACGGTTTATCAACCATTTAATAATTATTTAGGGCCGAAAATATTTTGCATATAAGACAAGCTCTGGAAGAAGGAAAAGAAAAAACGAAAAGAAAGAAAAAAATAATACGAAAACAGGTCATCGAGCACACACTCGCACGCTGACGAAAAATATCCAGGTCAAGCATCTGAACGAGATCCGCGGAAAATGGAAGTTGTTATCCATCCAAGGGAAAAGAAAGAAAAGAAGAAACAAGTTTAGGGACAATGAAAATAATGAAAAACAAGTGGAAAGTGTGTCATTGGAATGCTAGTAAAAGGTCTAAGTGGGTGGTGAAGTGTATCTAAGGATATGAAGGCAAACCATTAATAAAAACCTTCTCAGAATTGGAAAAAAAGCCACACAAGATGATGTCGCTGAAAATTTTTTTTGAGATAATAAAGATTTTTTATTATTGGACCTTCGGGCGGACATATTTTATTTCGTTCAAAAAACGCCAACAGGTCTGAAATCCTTTCTTTTCATATCCAATTAGCGATAAACTGCTTCAAATACCAGTTTAAAAAGCCGAAGGTGTCATCTTTTTTTGTTTTTTATTTTTGCAAGGTGTTTCTTTCCCCAAAAAAATACGGATTGTCCACGCCCGACTAAAAGACGTCATTGGCTAAATAAGATCACATGACACACGAAGGAGGAGGAAAGATGCCCGACCAGGACCTCATTGGCCGATCATGACGCACGAGGAGAATCGGTCGACGCCCCTATATATATATATATATATATATATAACCAGAAATATATATATTTAGAATTATCGAAGAAACCCCGCCGACAGACCCACCCCAATTTTGACTGCGTCAATAGAAGCGAAACCCCAACGGACAGAAATCAGTTTGAGTTTGAGCCGCGGACGGCGGGCAAGGTTCGTTAATTTGCGGGCAAGAGAGAGGCCAGTTCGTTTGGCCTAAGTGAAGTGAAGTTCGTCCGATAAAAGTTCGTCCGACCCAAGCCGAAGAGAAGAAGTTAGTTCGCGCACCGACGGCGGAGATTTAATTCTCTAAATTTGATTTTCAACCGTGGACGACAAGCAGAGATCTATAAAAAGATAGAATTCACGTTCTGGATAAACATAAAATTAGAATCAGACCACAGTAAGTTTTTTTTCTTTCGTCCAAATAATTTCTTAGAGAGCAGACTTTAAAGTCCATTTCCATAATCCACAGAACGGGTCGGGAAGACGTCAATTTGTTTGTTACCTTTTTCTTTGATTTGGACCTTGTGAGTTTTTATTTTATTTTCTTTTATACATGAGCACCCCGATATGATTATGTTTGATCTCGTCTGTCTAGAGATCAATTCATGGAAGAGACTGAAGTTTGGTAACCAGGCGTTGACAGTGAAACATTAGAACGTCACGTTTGGGGCAGCGAGGGCGAACACTGACGCCGCGGCGCTCCTCTGTCGACGCTGCGACCAAACGTCACAGTAAACGCTCCTCTGTGCCAAATCGTCAAAGCTAAATGACGGTTCCGTATAGGATAGAGGTTCGAATCCTGTCGGAGGACGAATATTTTCTATGGAAATTTCTCGGACATTCAGGCCGGTAAATGTCGTTTAATACAGTTTATTATAAACAGAGCATTTATTTAAATATTTGTATCTATAAAAAAAAAAAGTGTAAAAAAAAAATGTTTAAAAACAAATATTTGTAAAAAAAAAATGTATAAACATAAAAATGTCTTTATATTTAAATATGAGGATTAAACATAAAAATGTCTTTATATTTTAAATATGAGGATTATTTTAAAAATAGGTACAAAAGTATCTCGTTTAAGAAAAAAAAGTGAGGATTTAAGGCGCGTCTCGGCCGACACTTCTTCAGAAAAATAATCTTCAGCAGATTAAAACAAAGAAGTTGATAAGAAAAATTATTATCAACGACCGATGTTAAAAACAATAGTTTACCAAGATGTAATAAAAGGGGAAAATTAAAGAAAGAGGGGGGAAAAAACCTTATGAGTACTAAATATTCTCTAGGTTAAGCAGTAATCTCCCCCGAACAGAGACCAACCTGAATTTCATCTTCCTCTGTCTACACAGTTGCATATTAATAATAATAGACAGGCCTCATCCCTAATCCTGTTGACAGAAAACAAATCAGTTGAATAATATCCTATATATATATATATATATATATATATATATATATATATATATATATAATATTGTCCTCGATTTATATCGAAGATCCGTTCCTACGGCGTGACGTAACCTGATTTTCGACGTAGGTCGGAACTCACCCACATAAGCACCTACAAGTCTTCATTACGTTTGGGATCCATAATGAAGAGCAAAAATTCCCCGTCCCCCCACAAAAAATGACACAAACGAGAGATAACGATTGTAGCATATTCTTTACTTCTTTATCCATTTCCAAGGCGTTTCTTGTCAATTTCTTTTCATGAGTCTCTTTTAAGATGCAGTCGTTTGACGCCTTTGAATTGTGGACATATATATCCCAAGACCCGCGAGAGGAACGTTGTTTAAATTCAAGCTTATTTAACAAAGGAAATAATGATCTTTTTTTTTTTTAAATAATATAGAAGGGCGCTACCTCGAATTCCAGCCACATTCCTTTCGAGGGAGTCGGAAATAAACGCTACTAACAATCAATAGACATCATACTTGTACATCTTAAAAGACAACCATGAAAAGAAATAAACTGCAATTATTAACAAACCTCTGGAAAATAGCTAAAGAATTGGCCGAAACCGCTTGAGATAAAAACACTACCTTACCCACCTCAAACGAAAGAATTTTTGTTTTAAATACGTGCGTTTACTCCTAACCTCCTAAACTTCGCATATATATATATATATATATATATATATATATATATATATATATATCTATCTATCTATCTATATATATATATATATATATATATATATATATATATATATATATATAAAAATAAACTTAAAGAGCCAGACAAACCTACCTAGGTTTCACCTACGCGGATCGTCAGGGCGCCCTGACGATCCGCGTAGGTGAAACCCAGGTAGGTTAGTCTAACTCTTTAGGTTTATTTACTTATTTTGCTCTGCTTATCGTATTCAGCACTTTGTTTAGTTATTTTACTTTACTAGTATCGGAGGTCATTTTCTTTAGACTCTGAACTTTGATTCTAGTCGATTATTTTCGCCGGAAGTATGTTATTAGTTCTTTCTTTTTTTCCCCTTGGGTATTTGTTCATTTACAAGCTAAACACCTAAGGTTCTGCCGGACCAGTATAGCTGCTTACATTTATAAGATTATATATATATATATATATATATATATATATATATATATATAAAAAACGCTCAAAAACTAATATTCCATGGTTATAATTTATTACATTGGAATCGTAATCACGATCCAATTCATCAGTTTGTTGAATTGAGTCGTGATTACGATTCCAATGTAATAAATTACAACCAGTTTTTGAACGTGTTAGAAAGGATTAAAAATTTAAAAAAATAATAAAAAATATTTTTTGGTCTTTCCTATTAATAATAACATAAACATTTTTTTTCAGCCAAAAGTGGATCGCTCTTTTCTGTCTATCTATCTATCTATCTATCTATCTATCTATCTCTCTCTATATATATGGTTGACTCTCCCGTCGTATTCGACGTATGAGGATCAGAAACTCAGTTCCAAGGAACCGACAACCTAGAAAGCAGTACGTATGATTTGATTATAGTAGTGAAGGCTTTATGCAGAACCAACCAGACTTTTTGAAGGGCCGGATACAGAGATCTGGTCCACTATGTGCCACAAGGTTATCCTTCTCCTAGACCAGTTGCCATCCAAGGCTATAGAACCCAGTCTGTCCTGCTATTTACCCATAGCTGGGGAGGGAAGAGGATTCATACCTTCACCAACGGTATTAGCACGTAAGTGAATGTAATGGATTCGACTGAATTCGAACTCAGCTACACACTTCTTCGCCGTGCTTTCTATAATAATAATAATAATAATAATAATATATATATATATATATATATATATATATATATATATATATATATATATATATATATATATATATATATATATAAACAGAGATAATTTGTACAATTTACAATGTTCTGACGACATTTTACGAACGGCCGAACCATCGTCTAAATTACAAGAGATACAAAATGATCGAAATAAGTCAAGTAGATTTAACAACAGACAGAAATAAAACCAAAAGTAATGCGCATTTATAATCATCTGAAGCAGTTTATAAGAATCGAGGGAGAATAACTGGTAGATGTTCAGAAATTAATCTCCTTACAGGAGTTGATCACATTAAAGAAAGATGATAAAGGTGAAATAAAATGAGCCATAACGATTTGTTGGATAGTGTTTAATGTGAAGCGAGACATAATGAAAGGTGCCCTGGCAATATACTTAAAACGCAAAATTTATAATGAACGGGTTATGCCTGTTATGAGGAACGGGTAAGAAACAGTGACATTAGCGACCTTAAAACTCGCCAATGGCAAGTGTGATGCTAGGGATAATTCTAAGAAATAAAAGATATGGAGGGAAAAGGGTGATCACCGCCCCCATGGGATGAGGTTTAAATAAAAGAGAGCATTAATAGAAAATACGAAAACTTAAGGAATCAGCACATATGCTAGGCCACAAAAATCTCCTGAGCCGAACAAGCATAGAAATTAATACAATATAGGAACCAGTAATAAGGAGTGCTAGAGAAAAGTAATTAATAACAACAAAAAATTGCTATATAAGCTTTGGAAAAAAAAATATCCAATAATAATAACAGAAAAAATATGAGCACTGGTAAAAAATGATTGCTGAGACATTAGGCTTACAAGTCCCAAAAATTCGTACAGAGATGTCCTCAGGGACACATGGCCCAGTGGATATAGACGTTCATCAGATCCAGTGACATCTGTGTATTTTTATAAAAAATAATAAGATATAATTTGTGCCCGATGAGCTGGAAAACCAGCGAAACTTAAGCTGCACACCAAAACGTAGGTATATGTATATGTATATTTATTAATATATATCTTTGCTCAGTATTGATATTAGTATTTTTAAATATATTTGAGTGTATTTGGATAAAAAGTAGCACCCAATTATTTAAATTCGTACTTAACAGTAAGATAAAAGCTAGTTCATCCGTTTAAGATAATGATCATTAAAAGCGAAATTGAAAGATCTTTCATATCGTAAAAGCTTAAGATTTTTGCTGTAGTAAAATGTGCTTTTTATTAAAATACTTATCATCTTACAGTAATATTTGAAGTAAAATATAATATATATAGAATAGATTTTTAAAAAAGCCTATAAAAACGAAAGATTATAAATTAATACAGTAAATAGATATAAATATATGTAGCACATTACGATAAAGAGTGTGACATACATGTAAATGCTCCATTTTCGGCTAAATATTCGTTCGGCGAAATATCCATCGGCCATATATCCGTCGGCGAAATATCCATCGGCCATATATCCGTCGGCCAAATATCCGTCGGCCAAATATCCGTCGGCCATATATCCGTCGGCCAAATGTCCGAGTACCAATGTTTTCATGGCAACTGTACGTTTGAACTCTTCGCTACGGTACCTAGACTTTATAAATTCAAGCGCAGTACAAGAATTGACGGCAAGGTCTTATCGATTCCCAGTTGAATTGGCTAGATGTAGCCGTAAGTTTTATGCTAACAATTTTTTTTCTGGTGCTTGACGCTTGTGGAACTCACTTTTGGCTCCATGATTTCCAGCCAACTTTGATTTTGAAAAGTTTAAAAGTCAATCATTATCTACTGGGGCAGGAATTGGTTGGTTAACTTTAATGCCTCAAAACCAAAATTTCTCTTTATTACTCACTACAGAGAACCATCCCTGCCTCCCATTAGAATATCTGACGTTCAACTCCACGAGAGCACCTCTTTGCGACTGCTCGGTCTCATATTGTCTGCCGACCTGAGATGGAACAAATACATTGAGTCAATAGCTTCGTCCACCGCAAGGAAAGTTGGCTCCTTGTGCCGCGCCAGAAAATTTTTTCTCGCCGGAGTCGATCCTTCAAATCTACAAATAAACCATTCGACCTTGCATGGAGTATTGCTGCCATATATGGTCTGGAGGCCCTTCTGTTTGCCTCAAGGGCCTTGATAAAATCCAGAGACAGATATGCAATGTAATTGGCATCTCGTCTGCAGTCGCTCTCTCAGAGACGTGCCGTCGCCTCCCTCTGCCTTTTTTACAAATACTTTCTCGGTAACTGCTCTGATGAGCTGCTTTCGCTGGTTCCCAGACTTCATGAATTTAAGCGTTCAACTAGGCTGGCATCTCGCTCTCACCCTTTCACTGTCGAAACTGTTAAATGTAGCCGTCTCTTCTACTCCAATAGCTTCATGTCTCGTACTTCTCGCCTGTGGAACTCCCTTCCCTCTTCCTGTTTCCCTGATAGCTATAATCTCCAACTCTTCAAATGTAATGTCAATCGACGTCTCTATCCCCTATCCTTCTCTTCATCCTTTCCTCTATCACTCCTCTTTGCTCTCGCCCCAACTCTCTGTAACTCCTTGCGTGCTAGTGGCTTCCCGCCTTGCTTGGGGTGAAATGATTACCCCCTCCCACAAAAAACCCCTCTCTTCCTGATTATTCTTCTATTTTTAGCGCTCCTTAATAATTTTTCCCTTTTTTCTTATTCTTTCACATTCAGTGTCTTAGCGACTTTACTACCTTGCATGAGGTGAAATGATTAAAAAAATTATACTGGGAGGTTTATATTTTAGAGCTTGTGTGTCTGTCTCTATACATCTATGCATATACGACTGTATATTTTAAAGTTATATATATATATATATATATATATATATATATATATATATATATATATATATTAAAATAAATAATTATATTTATGCTCTACTTTTGTATCGAGCACTATTTTTAAAAAAAATAATAACTAAAATACTAAGGAACTTTGGATTATTTACCTAACCAGTTCTTTCCTATTTTCTATATTCATTTATATATATATATATATATATATATATATATATATATATATATATATATATATATATATATATATATATATATATATATATATATATATATATATATATATATATATATACAAGTATAGGATTGGTGTATACGGAATAAATTCCAATAACAAACAAATGCTATTCTTAAAAGAGTGCTCAATACAGAGTAGAGCAAATATAATCATTTATTCGAAAATTATAACATAAATATGTTATAAAATCCCTACAAAAATAGCCATTTTGTTTGAACACTTCTGGTGTCTTATCAAGTGATGGTGTCACTTGAGAAGACACCTGAAGTGTTCAAACAAAATTGCTATCGTTTTTGTGTTATAATTTTCGAATAAATGATTATATATATATATATATATATATATATATGTATATATATATGTGTGTGTGTGTGTGTGTGTGTGTGTGTGTGTGTGTGTGTGTGTGTGTGTATATGTAGAAAAATAAGAAAGAACACGTTAGGTAAATAATCCGGAGTTCTTTAGTGTTTTTGTTTTTATTTTCAAAAGCAGTGCTCCATACAGAAGTAGAGCATAAATTATAATTATTAAAAAAAATAATTAATATATATATATATATATATATATATATATATATATATATATATATATATGGGAACGTGCATGTGCCCGAATTCTGTTTCCCTGTCTTGAAATATATTTTCCCTGATGTATTGAAAATAATTCCCTTCTCTTACAGTCGAAGCTAGCCAAAACCCATATCTTATCGTGAGGCGGTATAAATTATCGCATATTGCAGTCTGTCCGACGCAGGTTGTGAGAAAAAAAAAGAAAGAAATATCCCAAAACTGTACAATGACCTGGTATTATATATAAGAGGCTGCCTACAAAAGGTTAATACAGTACAGTGTGTAGTAAATATCAATAACACATTCACTGGGAAGCAAACACGTTTCGAATTAAACTCGATCATTGTTATAGCAAATTAAATCCTCATTGTTGCCTGCTAATTTGTTACCTTGTGCCAGATAAATTAAAACCAGTTGCATTAGTATACCGTATATTTCCGCGTATAAATCGACTATTAAATCCCAAAAATCAGCCTTAAAGTACAATTCTGGAAAAAGAAACTTCAAATTCTCAGTGATGTTTTTCAGTAGGCTAACCTCTGCCTCGATACGATGAAGAATAACGTACATGAAAGAAAATCACATTATCAAATAAATTGATAATAAAAATAAAAATAACGTTTCTATCTTATATATTACTGACATAACTTCATAAAAAATTGCCTATTTCATAATATATATATATATATATATATATATATATATATATATATATATATAATGAATACAGACGATCCTTAAAAATCAATTGGGTTATAATTTATTTCATGTATACATAAATATTTATCTCTTTAGACCGAATTTGTTTTAATAAATGGAGTCAATTTATCCAGACGAAAAAAAAAAATTAAAGGAAAAAAATTTAATGTTAAAAGAAGAAGAAAGAAAAATAAAAATGTCAATATAAGGGGGGGAGAAAGAGAGGGAAAGGAGAGGAGGAGGTGGGAGAGAAGGAGAGAATAAGAGGGGAGGGATTATATATATATATATGTCATCCCTCCCTCCCTCTCTTATTCTCTCCTTCTTATTAGCGGTATATATTTATTTTGCTTTTATTTGTTCTTTAATACTGTAGTAGCGGCAGCAGCTGCAGGATAAGTCAAAGAACTTTGTTACCTCCCTTTGGTATTTTTTACTAGATCATAAATCCAGTTTAAGAACCAGTAACAAACTTTTACCAAACAATTTTGGTAACCTTTAGAATATTTACTGCACGGGGGAGGGGGGGCATTGGAAGATGTTTTCATTTGAAAGTGAACGATGACGCAATAAAAAAAGGTTGGGAAGCCCTGCTTTAGACTTTAGAACTTAATTGTCAAACTCTGAAGAACACTCCTGGTCTGGGTTTAACTTTCAACGACGTTACTGCAAAAGGAAATTTTGTAAAGCAATTTCGATCTTGACGATCAGTTATAACTCCTTGATCGTAAACACTATACATACATGCATATATATATATATATATATATATATATATATATATATATATATATATGATATAGATATAGATATAGATATAGATAGATACATAGTTAGATAGATAGATCTCTTCCCTTGGTTAATTTCCATAAAATTGTGTAACATCAATGCACTTTCAGTCCCTCCATTAGTGGGGTTGAGGTTAAGAAATGTATTCTTTAAGCCACAGTCATCTAGCTATCTAAGACTGTTATCTATCTATCTATCTATCTCTATCTATCTATCTATCTATCTATCTCAGTCAGTTATCTATCTATCTATCTATCTATCTATCTATCTATCTATCTCAGTCTGTTCTATATCTATCTATCTCAGTCTGTTCTATATCTATCTATCTATCTATCTATCTATCTATCTATCTATCTCAGTCTGTTCCATATCTATCTATCTATCTATCTATCTATCTATCTATCTATCTATCTATCTATCTCCCTTTATTGCTACATATCATGCCTGTATCTCACTATTTCTCTCCCTTCTGCAATATTTATTGTCTTTTCACTTCTCTCTTCTCCTTTCTCCGTTCTTTCGGGATTTTCACGACTGTTAACATCCACCGGAAATCGACCAGCAACATTGGTTTCGAAGATTTTCCAATTATGCTCCGTGTCTGTTTTTATTTTTGGTTTATGGGAGTTTATTGTGTGAGCGAAAAGAAGTAAAACGTGAAATATTAAGAAGGCGGACCATCGTGGCTTGCAACAATGGTTTCACAAGTTTAAATGAACTTAATTCGAGAGAATTATTATTTCTTGTGCAAGTTTTGGACGATATGTTCAAGATAGGCGACCAGCGAAAGTCTAAAGATATTTTCATAAGGTAAAATCAATAACACTAACCACATTCTATCTATCTATCTATCTATCTATCTCTATCTATCTATCTATCTCAGTTCATGTCTTAAGGTAATTGAGATGGGTTCTGAGTATACAATGGACGGAATATGTGAGTAACAAAGAAGTTTATCATTATCTATCTATCTATCTATCTATCTATCTATCTATTTATCTATCTATCTCGGCCTGTTCCAATCTATCTATCTATCTATCTATCTATCTATCTATCTATCTATCTATCTATCTATCTATCTATCGTTGCCTAAATTCTTAAGACCGATGAAAAAAATATGCCTTTTGTGTTGTGGGAAAATTTGAATAATGTGAAATTAGGCTAAATACAAGTTGGTTGAAAGACCTAGAAGTTTCAACTCTCATTTCCAAATCTTAAATATAATTGTCCTTTTTGTTTCAACTTCTTCATGTTCGGTTCATGGTCTTAACATCCTTTTGCAGATCTACATTTGTTGCCTCAAGTCACTTCTTCACCAGTCAGGTGATTGCCAGCATTCACTGCCATACAGGAGGAACAATATTACATAACACTATATATAATTTAATTTAAAGAAAAACAGATCACTTTAAGGCTCCATTGTAATAATTTATTTCACCAGAGAATTTTATTTTTCTGTGGATCTTCAGACTTCACTTTCAAAAGGTGAAACGAAAAATGAATTTAAAATTTACACTTTTGACGGGCAGTATTAAGCTTATATAATTTGACATAGAGGGTGGTGAGGAATAGTGTGAGAGACATGGTCAAGTTTAGAGAGGGAAGGGAGAGTTTGAAAATTAATTTTTATATTTCTTTTTATTATAATACTTAATATTGAGGAAGGAGGGGGGTAAGGATCAGACATTGACCTATTTAACCGGTCAACTCAACGAAAATGATATGGGAAAAGGAAAAAGACTTCACACACACACACACACACACACACACACACACACACACACACACACACACACACACATTCTAACGGATGTGATTTGGTAATTTGTTTGGGTTAATTTATTTTACTTATTTTATTGTCATTTATTTTATTTTATTTTTTCATTTTTCGATTTTTAAGTAACGTAGTAAAAATTTGTTTTCGTGTCTGCATTTTGAGATGAGCTCGGATCTTTTATTTAATAATTTATTTTGGTCTGGGAAAGTAATGATAGCTATTTTTTCCTCCAAGCAGAGTTTGCAAGTTTTTGATTGGTTGTTGTAGGCTGATGATCTTTTCGTTATTTTCCAAGATATTTTTGGTGTGATGTGCGTTTTGTTTTTAATTTCCCAGATATAGTTAGAAAGCATTGTGCTGTTCGCATATTTACTATTTGTGAAAGATGTTTTGTGTGCATAATTTCTTTGTTTCCAGGGTCCTTCAGTTACTCCCATGTATATTTTTCTTCAATATCTGGTGATTTTATCGTGGCTTGGTATATTACGTTATTTTGTAAAAAATTACAGTTTAAGGGACATTCATTATTCTGCAGTTACACGTGGGTTTAATTTGTTCGTGTGGTTTGTTGATAATTTTCCAGTTGTGTTTTTTTATTATTTGTGCCATGTTCTCGGTGCAACTGTAGCTGATTTTTACTGTGTTTTTGTTGAATATTTTGTGTAGGGTGCTTGATTCTGGGAAGTGTTTGAAGAATATTATTCCTACGTTTGTTTTTACGTTTTTGCTGTACGGTGGATTGAACCATATGATATTTCTTTTCTTTTTGACCTTTTTGTGTTCTGTGGTGAGTATGTGAGTGTTGCTGGGAATCCACTATCTTTTAGGGATGTTTCGTTGTCTTTCTTAGCTTTGTTAAATATAGATCCATTGGAGGAATTGTCGGAAAGCCTGCGGTTAATCGATTTTGGTATCTGTTTGATTATGGAAGGCGGGTGGTTGGAAGATGTGTGTATATAGTGGTTTATCATTGGGTTTTCTGTATGGTTTATATGTGCTATGGGATACGGTGGTATGATTGGGTCAGTACTTGTGGCTAGCTAAGTTCAAGATAAGACAGATTGAAAACCAGCCTTTCCCTATCCTCACTTTTGGCCTTGTTCCACATTTTTGTATTTTTCAAAATAAATATTGCTTTCCTTTCTCGTACATAGACTTTACGAATTTAAGTGCAATTGGCAGGTAGATCTTATCATTTTACAGTTGAAATGGCTAAATGGAACCGTAAGTTCTATGCTAACAGTTTCTTCTATCGCACTTCTGGCTTGTGGAACTCTCTTCCAGCTTCTGGTTTTCACGTCAACTTTGATCTTCAAATATTTAAATGCAATGTCAATCGTTATTTTCTCGCTTCTCTTGTTCTTTTGTTGGTCTCTTTCTTTAATAGTTTTTTTTTTAAGATTTTCACCCCAAGCAAGGCGGGAGTACCACTAGCACGTAAAAGATTACAGAAAATTGGAGCAAGAGTAAAGAGACGTGATTGAGGAAAGGATAAAGAGAAGGACGGGGAATTAGATCAAGGCATCAGATGTCGATTGACATTACATTTGAATATTTGAAGACTATGACTGTCAGGGCAAGTAAGAGGAAGGGAGTTCCACAGACGGGAAGCGCGAGACATGAAGCTATTGGAGTAGAAGTGACGGCTACATTTAACCGTTTCGACAGTGAAAGGGTGGGACCATGATGCCAACCTAGTAGCATGTTTAAAAACATGCAGTTTGGAAACCAGCGAGAATAGCTCGTCGGAGCAGTTACCGTGAAAGTACTAGTAGAAAAGACAGAGGGAAGCGGCGGCACGTCTGTGAGAAAGTGACTGTAGACGAGATGCCAGATCAGGACCAACAACATTGCATATCCGTCTCTGGATTTTGTCGAGGACCTAGAGACGAACAGCGGGAGCTCCAGACCATATATGGCAGCAGCATTTCATGCAGAGGCGAATGGTTGATTTATAGATTTGAAGGATGGATTCGGGCGATAAAAAAAATTTCTGGCGCGACACAACTTTCCTTGCGGTAGATGAAGCTATTGATTCAATTGTTTTTTTTTCTCATTCCCAAACACTCAGTAACACCCTTGCGTCTTAGTTAATTTATTCCCTTACTTGGGTTGAAATGACTTATACGCACCACACCCATACATATGTATGTGTGTTGGCATGCCATTTACAGATTGGATATTTAACGCAGTAAATACTTTTTAATTCGACGAACTCCATTGAGTTGACTTTTCTATACGCCAATTACTGAGTTCAAAACGCAATTGTTATTGCGCTAGAGAATTGTATAAAAATCGAGGGAATTGGTTGGGTTTTCGTACGTAAATTCCCGCCGATGGTGCAAAGGGCCATGTTTCGGGTTTCTCTCTCTTTCTTCTTTCCTTGTTTAAGGGTGAAGGAATTGAATTTAAGGTAGCGTTTTTTTAAATGTCACTTTGCAAGCACCAACAGAATTAGGAGAATATTGAACAGAAATGAGAACGAGAGACAGTGACACGCTGTTTATTGATGAACAGGACAGGCCAAAGAAAAGCATAGTAGCATCGTATCTATCTATCTATCTATCTATCTATCTATCTATCTATCTATCTATCTCAGTTCATGTCTGTTCGTATGCATGTATGTATGTATGTATGTATGTTTGTATCTATCTATCTATCTATCTATCTATCTATCTCAGTCTGTTCGTATGTATGTATGTATCTATCTATCTCAGTCTGTTCGTATGTATGTATGTATGTATGTATGTATTCTATCTATCTATCTCAGTCTGTTCATGTATGTATTCATCTATCTATCTATCTATCTATCTATCTATCTATCTCAGTCTGTTCGTATGTATGTATGTATCTATCTATCTCAGTCTGTTCGCATGTATCTATCTATCTATCTATCTATCTATCTATCTATCTATGTTAGTATGTATGTATGTATGTATGTATCTATCTATCTATCTATTTATCTATCTCAGTCTGTTTGTATGTATGTATGTATGTATGTATGTATGTATGTATCTATCTCTGTCTGTTCGTATCTATCTATCTATCTATCTATCTATCTATCTATCTATCTATCTATCTCGTTCATATTTATTTCTTGTCTTATCTCTCTTTCTATCACCGTTTGTCCGCATCTATCCTCATCGGCCTCCAGGCACCATTGTTATACCCCCGAGCAATACAGGCGAATCAACAACATTAACGACACAATAAGGCTAGCAATGTCGTACACAGTAATGAAAAATTAAGCAAATAACATTTCTATTCTTTTTCATTTTTAATCTCAACCGAGCCAACCGAATTTGTCTCCTCGATTTTTTCATTGAGCATGCGCAGTATCTATTGTTTATTTTTTTTTAAATTTTTTTTAGCCTACCTTATTTTAAAGGTTCTATTTTCGTTCAGTTCTAGCAATTTCCAAGAACACTAAAAAAAAAAAAAAAAATCAGTATTTCTAATATTTTTATTAATAGTTTTTTTCACAAAGTCCAGCAGTGTACACTGTTTAACTCGAACATCAATTAAGAACAAACCAAACTTAGTGACATTACTTTGCATAAAAGGAGGAGGGTCTGAAAATATATCCAAAAGATTTGTGGCTAATAAAAATATCAGATAGGTTAACCACAGAAAAAAATACTCTACTCAACCTCTTCACGACATCCCCGTGCGAGGAATATGACTAAAAACTTCATATATAGCATCTCATGCAGCTGCCAATTAAGATATTGCCAGAAAATTAGAATGTGGGGACGAAATGAATAGTGAGTATGAAAACATTGAGAAAATCTAATAAGTGGATTTCCATAAACGGCGTGGTTGGGAAAATTTAAAGAAACAAATCTTTCAAACTGTAGGAAGACTTCGAATAAATCCAGCTTGCTTTGAATATCGCTGCCACATCTGGTCTGGTGTTCCTGTTATATATTTAAAGATTCTTGGTAAAAACCCAAAAAGAATCTGCAATATTATTGTTCCTGATCTGGCATCTCGACTTTAGTCTCTTTCCCACCGATGTAACTTAACTTTTCTTAGTAACTTCGTATCTATCTATCTATCTATCTATCTATCTATCTATCTATCTATCTATCTATCTCAGTGTGTTCGTATCTGTCTCAAGAAATAAACCAATCAATCAGTAATTCTAATATTTGTATTAATATTTTTTACAACCTCCAGCAGTGTGCATTATTTGACTTGAAGATAAACTCGGAATAAACCAAAACTTACTGTGACATCGCTTTGCATAAAAGGGGCGTCCGGAAATATATCCAAAAGATTTGTGGCTAATAAATGGATTAACCATAGGAAAAATACTCTAATCAACCTTTTCACAACATTTGGACATCCACGTGCTAATAATATGACTAAAAACTTCATATATGGCATCTCATGCAGCTGCTAATTAAGATATTTCAAGCAAATTGGAACATGGGGACGAAATAAATGGTGAGAGAAAAAACGGTCGGATTTATCTTTGAGTCTATAGGTAGTCATCTGTCAGATTTATACTTGAGTCTATATAACGTGTTTATAGGTAAGTCGTTAAGTAAACGTTGGTCATATTTGAGTCTATGGGAAAATATATATCAGATTTATATTTGAGTCTATATAACATGTTTATAGTTAAGTCGTTAAGTAAACGTTGGTCATACTTGAGTCAAAACATATGTCATATTTATACTTGAGTCTATATAACGTGTTTATAGGTAAGTCATACCTGAATCTATAGGTAAACATTGGTCATTTTTGCGCCTGAGTTTATAGGTAAACGTTAGTCCTGTTTATTCTTTAGGCTGTAGGTAAACATTGAATGTGTATATACGTAAATCAGTTAGGAAACATTCGCTGAGATTATACTTAAGTCTATAAATAAACATTAGTCATCCATACCCAAGTTCGTCGGCATCCGCTGGTAGGTGACCTCTTTAGTGGGTTTTACCCATTTGCTATGGATTCTGTGCTTAGTCGACAGGACAGGACAAACTGGCAGAAAAGGTGAAAACCACTTAAAAACACGTTTCAAGAACCGCCGCTCGAAGTAAAGCTGCTAATAGTTAGAATAATTCTTTAATAATCTAACTAATAAATGAATGGAGCTCAATAAACGGGGTGGTTGGGAAATTAAAAAAAAAAAAATCTCTCAAAGATTCGAAGAAATCAAGCTTGTTTTGAATATTGCTGCCACATCTGGTCTGGTGCTCCTGTTATATATTTAGAGATTCTTGGTAAAAACCAAAAAAAAACAAAAAAAAAAAAAAAAAAAAAAAAAACAATCTGCAATGTTATTGTTCCTGATCTGGCATCTCGGCTTCAGTCTCTTTTCCGCCGCCGTTAATTTTCAGTGACTTTTCTATAAATATTTTAATAGTAATTGTACTGATGAAATTTCCTCTGTGGTACGTAGACTTTATGGATTTATGTGCTGTACTAGATTGGCGGCTAGGTCTCATAATTTTATAGCTGAACTAGCTAGATGTAACCGTAAGTTCTATGTTAACAGTTTCTTTTCTCGCTTGTGGAACTCTCTTGCGATTTTGATCTCCCGTCAATGATGATCTTCCATCATTTAATGCAATGTCAATCGTTATCTTCTGTCTTCTTAATTCTTCTTATTCTCTCTCCTCAATAGTGTTTCTTCTCATATCCTCTAATACCCAGTAACCCTTTACGTCTTAGTTGCTTTATTCCCTTGCTTCAAAAATAACAAAAACTAAAACTAAATATACATTAATGTCTTTAAGTAAAGCGCTTGAATATAATCAAAAATATTTACGTGATGTCTCCTAACATTACAGTATTCTTGTATTATTTCGAACAAATGTCCTCATCTTGGTTGATAGAGATGTTATTATAGACACGACGTTTCGACCAAGTACTCTCTGGTCATCATCAGGTGTCAGTTTGTATGGGATATCTGTTGATTATTGTGATATTTTTTCTTATGATATGGCTACCAAATCCAAGGATTTAACTCATAGATGACGGTAACACATGTATAACCAACTTCATTATAAACTACGCTACGCTGTCAGTGGTGGGTTTTTGGAGCCTTTGATATTCATTGACACATGATTTTTAACATTTAGCTATGACGGCGCGGGTGGGGGGGTGGTGTTTATAATTTAGTATTTCATGTCTGGCGTTGATTAGTTATCAATATTCTTATATTATTTTGAAATATCAGATTAGCCATTCAATGATCACATGATACTTGGTCGAAACGCTGTGTCTATTATAACATATCAAACAAGATGAGAATAATAGCTCAAAATAATACAATAATTTTGACCATTACTCATCTCAGAAATGAAAAAGTAAATTAACCTCCCAGTGCAAATAAATATCCATCAAAAACGATGTTTTTGGAGATAGAAAATTTAAGTTAATAAAGACGACATGGTTAAAAGTTTATTTGACTATTTTTGTATTCGTTTTCTACGGCTTATCAACTTGTGAAAGAGAATTTAAAACCAGAAAATATTTTTAGTATCTGTATATTTCTGAGATGAGGTATTATGTACATTATTCGGACTATTGTCCTGATCCTTGTCGCCATATTTATTACAACGTTTCGACCGTTGTACGCTCCGGCCTTCTTCAGGTGGTTGGAATGTCGAAATGAAACCCTTTATTTCGCTCACTTGGGTTGACTGTTTTAGTTCCACGTGCCATGTTTAATGGATGTCAGTTATCAGTTATCTCATGTTAATTCCCCTCTCCAAGTTCTCCACTGCCTTAACTGGGTATTGAACTCAAGGACACATGGCACTGTTAAGGCAGTCGAGAGGGGAATTAACAGGAGATAACTGATAACTGACATCCATTAAACATGGCACGTGGAACTAGAACAGTAGACCGGTGATAAAATTGTACCAAATAACAGAAACCACATCACTTGAGGATTTTCAATAAGAGCGGCTAAAAATGGATACCGCATGCAACTCCAAGAGAAAATAATGATATAATGAAGATGATGATATTCCACACTGCTTCAAATAAAAAGCTAGGAAGGTAACTGAAAAGAGTGATAACAGCTTACGGGACCTGAGAAAACTATATCCCTAAAAATTGTTTTAATAGAAGGGTTTTATAAATTCCGAACGACAGGAGTACTGGCTGCTCGGTCATCGAATGATGAATTTTTCCTTATAAGGAAATGGCTAACATTACCTTTACCAATCAATATCTTTTTTTGAAGTTATATCTTTTTCGTGGCCCATTTTAAACTTCATATATTCATATTTGTTAATAGATATGTTGTGGTAGGATCCACTTAATTTGCATAGTGGAGTACAGACCATATAAATATGGTTGGTACCGGGATTACGGTGGGAGGAATCAAGAGATTCAACCAGAGACTCTGTCCGACTGCGACTCAGTCAACACATTCTCCAGGAACGGTCTTACCAGGAATATACAAAAGACTATATGTAAATATTGTGTACACTTTCTTGTTTCAATACATTTTGTTCTAAGTACATTTTGTGTTGCATTATTATTCCATGCATTAGTCAAGTTTCAACAAGATATCAATAAATATATTATTATATATATAGATATCAATAAATATATTATTATATATAGATATCAATAAATATATCATTATATATATTTATTTACGATATGATCAGCAATCTTCTTGTTGCCTCATGCAAATTTCCCACCGTCAGCTATTTTAGTTTTTTTTTAAAACCGGTTATCGCTACTCACTCGTCAGAACTCGATCGAAGAAATTTAGATAGTAGATACACCGACTGTTTGTATTTCCAAATATTGTAGTTGACGTTCCCCTCTTACCTGTATTAATTTGTGTCAGTTTTTATTGTATTAATTCAATAAAAAGTGTTTATTGCATTAACCATTAAAAACCTATTTATTGCATTAATCCATTAAAAGTTTTTATTGCCTTAATCCATTAAACATTTTTTATTGCATTAATCCATTAAAATTTTTTTATTGCATTAATCCACTAAATAGTTTTATTGCATTGATCCTTTAAAAAGTGTTTATTGCATTAAGGGTTTATTGCATTAATCCATTAAATTTTTTTATTGCATTAATCCATTAAACAGTTTTTATTCCAATAATCCATTAAAAAGTGTTTATTGCATTAATTCATTAAAAAGTGTTTATTGCATTAATCCATTAAACAGTTTTTATTGCATTAATCCATTAAAAAGTGTTTAATGCATTAATCCATTAAAAAGTGTTTATTACATTAATCCATTAAAAAGTTGACGAAAAAGTAGGATTGACGTAAGGTTAGAGGGGCTGGAAATAAATCTAAAAATTTAGGAGCAAGCGTGGATGTTTATTCATGTACCTAAAACAAGTCACCACTTACCCAACTTCAGATAAGTCTTGCGACCAGAAGCATTTCTCCATATTGAGGCCTTCTGTTAGTAGAAGTAGCGAGATTGTATCAGTATCTGGTATCAGCGGTCATCTATCTGCGTACTGACCAGGCACATCATTGCTTAATTTCGGTGATCGAACGAGAACTGGTGATTCAATGTGATATGGTCGTAACAGCTTAAACAACTGCCTTTAAAAAACTAAACTTAAGCACATAAAAAAAAAAATATATGAAGCCATTGAAGTTGTGATCTAGCTAAACATCGATAAACATAGTAAAGAGTCATATGTATTTTTAAAAAACTTTTTAAAACAATTGCACCCTGAGAAAGGCGATAATGCCCCTAAGACGCAAGAAGTTACTAAACGTGAAAGGAAATAAGAAGACTTTAGCGAGGTGAAAGAACAATGAAAGAACAGGATGCAAAAAGTCAGAAGATGGCGATTGGCGTTGAATTAAAATTTTTGAAGATCGTATTTGACAGGAGAGCAAGATGCTAGAAGAGAGTTCCACAGGAGAGAAGTGCGAGAAAAGAATCTATTAGAATAGAACTTACAGTTACATTTAGCTATTTGAGCAGTAAAACGATGAGACCTAACTGCCAATCTAGTACTGCGCTTAAATTAATGCTGTCAAGGTACCAAGGAGCTCATCAGAACAATTACCAAAAGGAAGCCACGACACTGCAGTGAGAATGTCACTGAAGACGAGATGCCAGGTCAGATCCTTTTTTTAAAATTTTTGTCAGGAATCTTGTGATATATTACAAGAGCAACAGACCAT